GGGGTCAGGAGTCGGGGGTGGGGCCGGGTCAGGAGTCGGGGGTGGGGCGGGGACTGGAAGGTTCTAGCCTAGAGGAGAGGAGGAGGAGAGAAGACCTAGTTTTCCATCACTGGCTGGCCAGGTTGGCCCCGTCACCAACTTACCCTAATGGCGGTCATCCCTCCAGCATCTCAATATGTTAACCCCTGAGAAGAAAACCATGTACATTTGTTCAAGCTCTCACTGGAAACGCAAACCTAAGAAATATTCCAGATACACAGATGACAAACATGAATTATCATCCATCGTGATTCTAAATTGTTATATGTTCTTCGTGATCTATTGATGGTAAGAAAGTTATCCGAGTGTCAGGAAACGAACATTCGGACACGGGGGTGACCCGTCTCGGCTCCTCCTACGCCAGACTTGGCCAGTTAACTTCCTCCTTCCCAGTTTACACGCTCCATTGTCTATATTGTTTCGCTTCCATCTCTATATTTTATATATAGAATCAAACATACTTGGTCTGGTCGGTACAACGAAGGCCTCGCCTCTTGCAGCTCGGCATTCGACCCCCTAAGATTCAAGTGGCCATTTTTTCCTTCCCTCTGTCCTCTTCCATCTCTCATTCTGTCTTGTCCTCATGTCCCTTCAATGTGCTATATCAGTTATGATAGTGTTTGAGTAGTTTATTATGAAGACCAATTGACGTCAGCTGTGCGCGGAGGTTGGTACCTCGCCTTACTGGCCCAGGAGATGGATCCCAATTTTACTTCAATTATTTTTAATTAATAGAAATGCGTTATGTAATCTGTGACGTCAGTCTCGTGCGTACGTTCCAAGGTACGTGCAAGGTATGCACACGCGCACACCGTATATTTACACTGAGTCACTGAAGTAAAACTGATAATAATAATAATACATTTCAGTCAGCTGGGTTCACTGCAGGACGCGACCTCTCCAGCCATCTCTTTGTAGGACGCGAGGTATCCGGTCCGCTCCCTGCACGACGCGACCTCTCCAGCCATCTCTTTGTAGGACGAGAGCTATCCGGTCCGCTCCCTGCACGACGCGACTTCTCCAGCCATCTCTTGTAGGACGCGAGGTATCCGGTCCGCTCTCTGCAGGACGCGACCTCTCCAGCCATCTCTTTGTAAGACGAGAGCTATCCGGTCCGCTCTCTGTAAGACGCGACCTGCTCTTGCCAGACCCCAAAACTGTAGTGACAATGAGGCAGAGGCTTAACCCTTAAAGCGTGACGTTATATGATTCACGCCTGAAGAATGCTCATGTCGGGGAGCCACAGAGAGCCTTCTGTGTGCCATAAAGAACTTCAGGTACCAGAGAGAGCCTCCAAGATTGAAATTAAATAAAAAGCCTTTTTTGGGAAACAGAGATATCCAGGCGGGTACCACAAGCCTCCAGGGAGGGCCATAGAAACATTCCTCGTGCCAGAAGGCGCCTCCAGTGGGCCGAAGAAAGCTTCCGTTGAGCTAGAAAATCTTTCCAGTGGGCAGGAGAGCCCCTCCAAGGGAAGAAGAGCACCTTCGGTGGGCCGGAAAGAGAGCGCCTCCAATGAGCCGGAAAGAGAGCGCCTCCAGTAGGCCGGAAAGAGAGATTCCAGTGGGCCGGAAAGAGAGAGCCTTCAGTGGGCCGGAAAGAGCCTTGATCGGGATTGTGGGTTGAGGGGAGAGATTACAGCGAGATCTCGGCACCTGTTCCTACCTTAGATCATGTCTCTTGATTCATCATGACCCGTGTCAGGTTGATCCACCAGTACACACACACACACACATACATTCACACTTGTTCAAAACTGCCGCCCTTTCCACCATCTATCATACGGAACCAAAGAGCTAAATCTCAATCCCGCCCATAGCCTGAGCCTGCCACCCACAACCTGAGTCTGCCACCCACAACCTGAGTCTGCCACCCACAACCTGAGTCTGCCACCCACAACCTGAGTCTGCCACCCACCACCTGCCTACCGTCCACATCTGGACACTTTACATCATTAAGGAATTACTCTCACAAAAAAGACGCACGTTGACAAGCAATTTCAATTCTGTCTAAATGAGACCCATCTTACATAAGTAGTGTTCAGAGCCCGTGCTCTAGGCTCGACAATGAATCTATTGATGGTGTCACGTTTCAAAGGCTGTCCAAGTTTCGATAAACCTTTATAGTATTATTATATTTCAAACTAAATATAAACTCGTGTTTTGTTTTATGTACATCTCATCACTAATTGTAACATAGACGCTTTCACGTCTGTACGCCTATTCATACCACAGATGTGATGATTTGTAGGAATTTGTTACGAATAAAGTTTATAAATATAAATTTACCCCTTACCATCCACAGCCCATCACCCGCCGCCCACCACCCACCTCCCCATGAACGCCCACGAGCACCCACCGCCACCCCAGTAGTGATAAGCAACTCCCGCCTGGGTTGGTCTTTCTGGTCCGGGCGGTCCCATCCCGAGCGGCTGTCAGTTTAGGTCCAGTTGAGCACTCATCCCTACCTAGCCAAGATCCAGCGACCCACGTCCTGCCTTGCTCTCTCCCACCTTCGGAGACTTCACCCACTCAACTCATAAATAACTGACTCCCCCTGGATGTAAACATATCTACATAGAGTAGTGGGCTTCCTAACGTGTTGTGTTGCCCAGGTAAGACACTGTAAGACGAGTGTTGAGTCTTCCCCCCCCACCCCCGCCCCGCTGTGAGGCGTCGTCAGCATGTCTTCCTGCAGTCACAGGCACCGTCACCGGAATCACTAACGACGCCCACCCATGACGGCAACAACTGCAGTAGTGCCCACAACCAACAACCAACAGCAGAAGAACAACCAACAGAGCCCACCTGGGAGGCTCCACCAACTATTCCTCCCACACCGGATGATCTCGCTAACGTTTGAGGGGACCTTGTGCAAACGTGATGCTCACCTGCACAAGAAGAGCAACTTGAAAACGGTTTCGGTGACAATACTAAGAGGAAGAGAAGAGGAAGGAGGAGGAGAAGGAGGAGGAGGAGGAGGTGGTGGCAGGCAGGAACCTGCAGCCTCTCTCATAAGTGACCTCTTGGACTGTCAACACCAGCTTTCTCTCTCCACAACACAGGTAAGTCTTTTACCGTTTTGCTGCTAGATTAGAGCTCCATTTGTACTGTTTTAAGTGTTGCGTTCAGTAGATCATTCAAGCCAGGGCATTAGAGTCGAGTGACTTACCAAATTGTTGTGGAGCGCATCTGCGCTGACCTCCAGATCAGAGTGGTGAGAAGTGGAACAGCGACATTAATCAACGGAAGTCGCACTAAGTGCTTGCCCCGCCTGCACCAGGACCTCGCCATCATTGTCACTTCCCTACCTGGCACCAGCTCTCACTCATCACCTTAGTCACCACCATCACACACACACACAATATATGCCGTGAGAGCGGTATAGTCACGCTCTCACACCACCTGTGTGGAGGAGACTATTAGCGAGGTGCTGCACCTGCTTCCTTCATATTAATATTCCTCTGGCTGACAACGGCCGTAAAGCGTCACATTGGCGCTCTGGGAACCCCGGAAACACTTTATTTATTAGTCGTGAGAGCCACTAACCTTGTCACCACAGTACAGGTGTGGAAGATTTCCTACCACAGCCCTGGTCCTTCAGTTGCAATGATAACCATAGCCAATGACACAATGATATATATTTTCTTGTGTTACCCCCGTGAAGAAGTTTAGGTATAATGTTATACTTCATATAGTGTACTGGGTTACCAAGCACTCAACAACAGTGGGTCATGGAAGTAGCGGAGGGGGTGACCCCACCACCCGCAGCCAGGCGTCAAATCCGGCACACAATATCCGCAGACTTACTCACCTCTCAAACTTTATTTTTGATTTGAGCATTTTATTTAATTTATATATATAAAAAGAGTTCTTACATTCTCGTAAAGCCACTAGCACGTATAACGTTTCGGGCAGGTCCTTAATCTTATTTTTTTCCCCTGGAATATGACCCGTAAAAGAGTTTAACAACCAGATACCTATTCATTGCTGGGTGAACGGAGGCTACAGTTAAAGACTGGTGCCCAGTCGATCCTCCCAGGCTAGGATACAAACCCAGACCAAAGAGCTCGCGAAGTTCCAGGCGAGTGTCTTACCGCTGAGCCACAGGGACCGCGACAAACAAAACACACACACCAGCCTATTCTCCTAAGGTTTCGCAACGTCAAGAAACTGTCGTACTAAAAAGTGCCCTAATCCTAACCCACCAGAGGACCCAAAACAGAAAAATGGGACAGTATGTCAATTTCGCGAACCGCTACCATTTTCCAGTATGACAATTTTTGCCCTGAGGAAAGTATGGGTCAAAGTATGACCCACTATTAGGAGGACGCGCACGCACACGCGCACACGCGCGCGCGCGCACACACACACACACACACACACACACACACACACACACACACACACACACACACACACACACACACACACACACACACGCACGCACGCGAGCGCGATGCGGGTGTGTACGGGATCACATGGGTGTAGGTGGGTTTCCTGACCCTAATACCTAGATACAGGATGATGCAACCCTTCCCTCTCCACCCCCTCGCTCCCTCCCCAAACGCTACCCGCTCCCTCCCCAAACGCTACCCGCTCCCTCCCGCACCCTAATTCTCCCCCCACACCCTTCCCCACATCCTCTCTACACCCTTAACCCACACTTTCACCCCACCACACACTCACGCCACCACACAATGGTATACTAAAGTGTCCCAGGGTGACTAATGGTGTACTAGTGTCCCAGGGTGACTAATGGTGTACTAGAGTGTCCCAGGGTGTCTAATGGTGTACTAGTGTGTCCCAGGGTGACTAATGGTGTACTAGAGTGTCCCAGGGTGTCTAATGGTGTACTAGTGTGTCCCAGGGTGACTAATGGTGTACTAGAGAGTGCTGGTATTTTTCCTTTGTAGTAACAATTTAACGTGAAACGTGCATTTCTGTCTCTCCACAGTCCAAATGGATGGTGCTGGCGGCGGATGGCAGGGCGTCGGCGACGGCAGGGGATGGCAGGGCAGCAGGGATGGCACGCGGGGTGGGGAAGACGACCAAGGGCGGTGCGTCGACGGCAGCGCCTCCAGCGACGCCTTCTACGGACACAGCGGGGCCGGCGGGGAGCTGCAGGATGCGGAGAGACTACCCCCGGCCGCCTTCTACTACGGCACGACGAACAACAACGACTACAGCAAGTACGCGACGACGGGTGGGTTTGAGGTGAGCGGCGGCGGCGGCGGCGTCCACACCAGCGACTACCTGCCCCATTCAGCCGCCTACGACGCCCTCAGAGACAACAGCGGCGATCACATCCCCGGCGGGTGTTACGCCAGGGAAAGTAGCCTGGGCTGCGACAGCCTTCAGGAGGAGCGAGGCTACGGCAGGGACTATGTCACCCCGGGCGGCAGTGATCAGCGATGCCGCGGGCGCCGGCGGGAGTGCAGTGACTACGGCAGCCTGCCCAAGCAGTGCTACAGTGACAGGGTGGGAAGTAGTGCCTGCAGTGACCAGTGTGATGAGTACAGTGAGTGCCACAGACGGCAGCATGAGTACACACCTTCCACAGTACAAGTAACGGCCAAAGTTCTCTTTGGTTCCGTGAGTGCCATATCCAACCTCAAGCAGAGCAAGAAGACAACCAAGAAGAAGTGAGAGTGCCGAGGACAGTGCCGCCACTCTTCCTCCTTCAGGTGCCAGCAGTGCCACATCCTCCCTTCCTGTACAAGTCCTGGTGAAGACGGGTCATAAGGAAGCGAGAGAGACAGAACCCAACGCTACACAGAGGTCAACCACCGGTCACGCCTTGACCTCCAGTCCCACAACACGCCAATGACCGCAAGGTGATCAATGCTATAATCCAAGGTCACAGGTCAAAGCTAATCTCAGGTCACCTCAGTGCCTCCCCCTCCCCTCCTTCAGTATCCATTTCCTATGTATGTAAAGCTGTTTTGTGAATGATTTATAAACAAAGTCGCGATACGCTGCGTCTGCTGCCAGCACTGTAAAGTGTCTCACGCTGACCTCTTGCTGGATCTGGTGAGGCACTCCTGCAGCCGCTGGAGTGTCGAAGCAAGTGCCGTCTGCAACATATTTTGGGGCTGGGATTTCCTCTCATCTTTGTACGTTAGGCGCAGGTCCTTCTCAAACGCACGAGTGACGCCCAGCACCGCAGTTCTCACGCGGGAATTATACAATTTCAGAGAGAGAGAGAGAGAGACTGCGGATATGAACGCTTGTGTCGAGTACTGACTTCCAACCTTTTTTATTTGGAAGAGTCCATGATTTACGCCATACAATCTCAGGGAGCCCCTACCTGGCTGACACTAGGGGCTACAGGAAGTCCCTACCTGGCTGACACTAGAGGGCGACAGGAAGCCCCTACCTGGCTGACACTAAGGGGCGACAGGGAGCCCCTACCTGGCTGACACTAGGGGGCTACAGGAAGCCCCTACCTGCCTGATACTAGGGGCGACAGGGAGCCCCTACCTAGCTGACACTAGGGGCGACAGGAAGTCCCTACCTGGCTGACATTAAGGGCGACAGGGAGCCCCTACCTGGTTGACACTAGGGGCTACAGGGAGCCTCTACCTGGTTGACACTAGGGGCTACAGGATGTCCCTACCTGGTTGACACTAGGGGGGCGACAGGGAGCCCCTACCTGACTGTTACTAGGGGGCGACAGAGGTTAATTACAAAAATTGAGACATGTAAAAGAGGAAGTGTTAGTAAATACTCATTAACTCATACTTCTGAATAAAATATTACAAGAGTATTTATTGCCTATTTCTATTGACAAATTTTGTTAATAAATTATATTATCACTTTACATCTGGCTACTGGCTGCACTGTGTTTATATTTTGTAATGATTTTGTGTTAATATTGTTTTTGTATATAAAGTTGATAACGAAGTAATTATTTTTTTTCAAAGTAACATCCACAATTGAAAATTATAACCAATTTCAATAGAATAAACATGGATTCTAATGAACAAATCCACAAGGGCCGTGATGAAGGGTTTCGAACCCACGGACTAGGGTGACTAATGATAGAATCTTACAAGTTCTAATTGCCGGCTAATGTGAAGTGAGACTTGGGCTTGTGAAGGCTGACAACTTAAGTGTTGGTGTTTGTTGGTCACTCATCAAGTTGCTCCTCCATACTCATCACCCTTCATCTGTTGATGATCACATGAGAAGATAGGAATTAAGGCGCATCTTCCCAGACGGGTTTCTCAGACTCTTTCTTCTCCTTCTCTTTCACTTACTCTCTCAAGACTCTCCTTCACTTACGAACGCGTTATCGATCCTCGGTGGATGGCGGGAACATATGGTCAGAATTTCTTTCACACTGATGTACCTGTTCACCTAGTAGTTAATAGGTACCTGGGAGTTAGATGGTTGCTATGGGCTGCTTCCTGGGTGTATGTGTGTGTGTGTGTGTTAGAGAGAAATATATGTAGTAGATATAATAGAGGACAAATAGATTGGTTAGAAAGGCGGGGTTCAAGAGCTAATAACATTGCTCGATTCTGCAGACACAAATAGTAAACACACACACAGGTGTAGACAGATGTGAGCTCTCAAGACAGACAGACATAGACCGACAAGTACAAGAAAATAATGGGGTCAGTAGGTGGTGGCGAGGCATCAACACACACACACACACACACACACACACACACACACACACACACACACACACACACACACACACACACACACACACACACAGGGATGTGTGCGTTTCTCTCAATGTTTGCTGATGATGCAAAAATTATGAGGAGGATTGAAACTGAGGACGATAGTAGGAGGCTACAAGATGACCTAGACAGACTGAGTGAATGGTCCAACAAATGGCTGCTAACGTTCAACCCGAGTAAATGCAAAGTAATGAAACTTGGCGGTGGAAACAGGAGGCCAGACACGGGATACAGAATAGGAGATGAAGTACTTAATGAAACAGAGAGAAAGATCTAGGAGTTGATATCACACCAAACCTGTCTCCTGAAGACCACATAAAAAGAATAACGTCTGCGGCATATGCGAGGCTGGCTAATATTAGAACTGCCTTCAGAAACCTATGTAAGGAATCATTCAGAATCTTGTACACCACATATGTAAGACCAATCCTGGAGTATGCGGCCCCAGCATGGAGCCCGTACCTTGTCAAGCACAAGACGAAGCTGGAAAAAGTTCAGAGGAATACCACTAGACTAGTCCCAGAACGAAGAGGCATGAGTTACGAGGAAAGGCTGCGGGAAAAGCACCTTACGACACTGGAAGACAGAAGAGTAAGGGGTGACAGGATCACTACCTACAAAATCCTCAGGGGAATAGACAGGGTAGACAAGGATAAACTCCTCAGCACTGGTGGGACGCGAACAAGGGGATACAGGTGGAAACTGAGGAGAAACCCACATGAGCCACAGGGACGTTAGAAAGAACTTTTTCAGTGTCAGAGTAGTTAACAAGTGGAATGCAGTGATGTGGTGGAGGCTGACTCCATACAAAGAGCCAGAGCTCAACCCCCCGCAAGCACAAATAGGCGAGTACAAATAGCTGAGTACACACACACACACCATACATTACACAAACCAATAAACAATGTGTACTTGTGGACACCCAACACTGACGGAGAAAGGGGGGGAGGGGGGGGAGGGGGAGCATTACAGAAAGTCCAAAGGGGAGGGGTAGGGGGGGCAGCGGGGAGGGGATGGAGAGTGAAACTACCACTAACGACCTTAATGTGGATAGTTTCAATTCCGTGAAGAAAGCTGTGTGCTGAGCCTACTCTCCCTCCCCCCCTCCACCCCCTCTCACCTTCCCCCCCCCCACCAGTCGAGCCCTGCCCCTCTGACCCCCCCCCCTCACCCTCCTTACGTCAAGGCTTAGCTCCTGTCCTCAGGAGGCAGCATTAACTAACATACCCGTCCCCCTCAAGCTGACTGATCTAGCATGAACATAAAAAACTCTACGGAAAATAAATCCGCGATTTCATTTCAGACCATGAAAAGTGCACGAGGGGGGTAGGATATGAGAGGCCGATATTAAAGTGTGTCACTGGAGCCGACGCCGACAGGCCTATGTGGCGTCTGTGGTCCCGTGTGCCTCACTTGTGAATGTTTGGTGACGCTAGCCCCGAGCCTCTGGTCTTCAGCTTAGGGACAAACTGAGCCATTCTGTTTTCCAGATACTGATTAAGAATGCTCTCCAACCGTCCTTACTTTACTTTCTACCTTTTCCTCCCAGTATTGCCCCTTCCTACTTCAAATTCTTCACCCCCTTCCCTCCCTCTCTACACCTACTCCCTCTTCCCTCACCCCCCCCCCCCCACCCAGGACACTACCTGGCCACGACAGGTAAATTTCCCATGTGTGACGTCACAATGTCAATATTCACCTTGAGATCACACGGAAGATCACCTGATATACGCATACTTCTGTTCACCGTTATTAAATGTTGTTATTACTATTATTATACTATTACAGTACACACAGAAATCACAATAGCGTGATACATCAAATGAACAAATCCACAAGGGCCACGACGAGGGTTCGAACCTACGTCCGAGATAATCCCAGACTCGCCGAAGTCGATTACGCTACGACATGGTCAACAAAATTGCAACCTGGAGTACAACCCCCCTTATACACAGATCCCGCAGCCTCTCAGAGACACAAACCAGGGTTTTTACACAACTCCCCTCCATGTACCCGGGCTCAGTCAACACGCTCTTCTACCTCTCTCTCTCTCTCTCTCTCTCTCTCTCTCTCTCTCTCTCTCTCTCTCTCTCGGACGCAAGTTCGAATCCTCGTCACGGCCCTCGTGGATTTGTTCTCTGCACCCTTACTTCCATACACTTAATTTCATGCATCACTTTATTGTAATTTCTGTGGGGTAAACGGGAGTCTTCACCGCCAGATGGAGACACAGGCGAGTCGAAGAAATGTCAATAAGGAAAATCCTCCCACCCAGCACGGAGGGTCATCAAGGGGAAGACACTATGAAGGAACACGTCGTGGAAGCCACCTCCACCCACTCCTGTGAGTGGTAATGCTTTCTCAACCCCGTCCTGAGAGTGGTATATATATAATGCATTCCCTTACCCATCCTGTGAGTATAGGAGTACACCCCACACCCATCCTGTGAGTGGTAGTGCTCGCCATACCATCCCTGTGAGTGGTACTACACCCCATAACTATTCTCTGAGTGGTAGTGACAACCCGTACCCATCCTGTGAGTAACGGTGGATCCCATATCAATCCTATGGGGTCCACAGCTACAGGAAGGGAATGGGGTCCACAGGAAGGCTATGGGGTCCACAGGAAGGGTATAGGGTCCACAGGAAGGGTATGGGGGTCCACAGGAAGTGCATGGGGTCCACAGGAAGGGTATAGGGTCCACAGGAAGGGTATGGGGGTCCACAGGAAGGGTATGGGGGTCCACAGGAAGTGTATGGGGGTCCACAGGAAGTGTATGGGGGTCCACAGGAAGGGTATGGGGGTCCACAGGAAGTGTATGGGGGTCCACAGGAAGTGTATGGGGGTCCACAGGAAGGGTATGGGGGTCCACAGGAAGTGCATGGGGTCCACAGGAAGTGCATGGGGTCCACAGGAAGTGCATGGGGTCCACAGGAAGTGCATGGGGTCCACAGGAAGTGCATGGGGTCCACAGGAAGTGCATGGGGTCCACAGGAAGTGCATGGGGTCCACAGGAAGTGCATGGGGTCCACAGGAAGTGCATGGGGTCCACAGGAAGTGCATGGGGTCCACAGGAAGTGCATGGGGTCCACAGGAAGTGCATGGGGTCCACAGGACGGGCATGGGGTCCACCAATGGCCCCCACGACTTATGTAAGGAGGCGTCAGAAGCCGCCAAACAGTAATATAGGTTAAAGTGTTGAGGTGAGAGCCGGAGAGGGGGGGGGGAGGGATCAAGTGTGGGGTCACTGACCTGCCCAGCACCCGTCTCTCTCTGCCGGAGAGAGCACCGCACACGCACAGCAACGCACACTCACGCAGCAACGCACACTCAACACAGCAACGCAAGCACGCAACGCTTTACACGCCCACTAATACCCATGAACATGCTCAAAATTGCGTGCATACACACACACAAGTTCACAAGCAAGCACTCACACGCACCCCCGCACACGAACCCGGACACACGCACCCAGGCACACGCACCCCTACACACGCACCACACGTGTCATCACTACAATAATTGTATTAGGCCTATTATGGAAGGAGGGAGCTAGCCTCTGGGAGACTGGAAGACACTGGGTGTTGCTGGGGGTGAGTGTTGCTGGGGGTGAGTGTTGCTGGGGGTGAGTGTTGCTGGGGGTGAGTGTTGCTGGGGTGAGTGTTGCTGGGGGTGAGTGTTGCTGGGGGGTGAGTGTTGCTGGGGGGTGAGTGTTGCTGGGGGGGTGAGTGTTGCTGGGGGTGAGTGTTGCTGGGGGTGAGTGTTGCTGGGGGGTGAGTGTTGCTGGGGGGTGAGTGTTGCTGGGGGGTGAGTGTTGCTGGGGGTGAGTGTTGCTGGGGGTGAGTGTTGCTGGGGGGGGTGAGTGTTGCTGGGGGGGTGAGTGTTGCTGGGGGTGAGTGTTGCTGGGGGGTGAGTGTTGCTGGGGGGTGAGTGTTGCTGGGGGGTGAGTGTTGCTGGGGTGAGTGAACGACCTTGGCAACCTGGTCAACGTTCTGGAGTCCCAGTTACACTCCGACTTTGCAGAGTGCTTGGGAGAGTGCCCGAGGGAGAGAACCACAGAGAGAGACAGAGACAGACAGAGAGAGAGAGAGGGGGGGGGGTGGCCATGGGTTGAACCATTAGTGTGGGTGCCTGTGCACTTGTCTCAATGTTCCCTAACCTAACTAATCATGTTTCCTATAC